ACGACAATGGTTCAATGACGACTGATCCCGTAGACCTCCTCCGCCCACCGCCCATGACACCTATCTACCCATCTATCCCAGCCCCGAATACAATCACCCCCACAGCCATCCCCCCCCCCCCAACACACACCCTCGTAGAAGGTCGTGGCGAGACTCTACACTGCTGCAACGTCGCCACGAGACAGAGATGGGATTCGAAAGTCGGCATTCCAGGTCAAAGCCAGCGAACTATGTACAGTTGAGCGTGGCGTTGAGGGACTACTTGTGTTTGCCCGCCGTCGGCAACCAACCGACGGCAGAGCACGAAGACGCGGGAGTCGAGGACAACCTGCACTCCATAGACGAATCCCGCTTCGACGAAAGTACCCCGATGGCCATCTCCTCCAAAAGCCCGCTTACAAAACCCCAAATGCGCATTCAACGTCAACGTCGAAGACGGGCGCGATCTTTTCAAGTTGTGCTTCAACCCCCCTCGCCTTTGTCATCAACGACGTCGTCTTCCTCTTCGTCCTCGAGGGGGCCTGTCCCCAGCCAATCCAACTCTTCGCCTCCATCAGGAAGGCCAATGTCGCGTCATGCGAGAATGTGACGCAGCACTTTGCAGCCGAATCAGGGATGTAGAGAGGGGGGGTGTCGAACGTCGGAGGAGGTCTCCCCAACTTGTCCTTCATGACTTGCGCGACTTGGATGATGTGGCGGTGGGTGTCAACTGCCCGATTCATGAATGCAAGCAGCATCGGCTTCGCTGTCAGTTGCACGAACACCCAGGCGTTGTAATGCGATTTCAGATCATCCCCCACCATTCGCATGATCCACATCGTCGCGGCGAGCAAATACCTCATTGCCTCCACCATCATCTTTAAACGCTCGTAAGAAACGCGCCCGCCGTCGATCCCTTCGACCATCCCCACCACGCTCGTGAAATCCCTTATGGGTCGCTGCACACTCACCTCTTGGTTGGCTGCACACTCATCTTCCTCGTGCCTGTCTACAATGTCCACGCCGACGAACCACAAAGGCGACTTCATGTCCATGTCGAGAGTTGTGCGGAAGACCATTGGGCTCACCAAACTGCACCAGTGCTCTCCTGCTCACATCGCTCTTGCGATGTCAGTTGCGGCGTGATTCAAGGCGTACTGGTACTCTAAGTGGTACCCCCTTTGTCTGCTCTCCGACTTGAGGACCCATTTGTGGATAGCCCTCAACGCGATCGTCTACACCTTCACCACCCGCTCCTTCGCCGCATTCAACTCTGTTTCGTCTTCTATTTTGTGCTGCGGGATGGTGTTGTGCGGAAGGGCAATACTCCTCTGCACAGCCGGAAGCTGCACTCCCCCCACCAGCGCCACGAGATGCACGCGCACTTCCTGAATGATCTTCACGATGACGTTCTCCTGCGTCTCATTCAAGAAACGCATGTCATCCTCCCAAAGTTTGGCGGTTGCTTGCATTGCATGTGACGACTCACGTGGCGTGCGCAGCCTGTGCACCAGTGCCTCGTCGTCTTCCCCAACGGGACAGCCATACCCCGCCCTCGGCCCCTTGCACCTTCCCCCTCGTTTGCCGCTGCCATGACACCGCCGCCGCACGCCTCGTGAGCAGGAGATCGCACCGTGTTCCCTTGGACTGGCACTTGCGAACTCCCGACAACGTCTGCAGGCGGGGGGTTGCGGCGGTTCACTAGCGTCTGCGGGCGTTGCACAATGCGTTGCGCAACGGCCCCGTCCTTCAGACGACCTACGATCTCCCTGCATGCCACGTCGCGTTCGACTAAGATGATGTCAGCCTCTGCACTCGCGTCGCCTCCACCGCCGCGCCGTCGACCAGGTGTTTCCTTCCCCCCCTCGTTGATTTTGACTACCCCCGCGGTCTTCCCCCTCGGCTTCCTCTTCAGCGGTTCTTCCTCCTCTTCTTCAAAGTCATCGTCCTCGTTGTTCCTCAGCTCCTTCCCCACCCACTCGTCTTCTACATATCACCCACCACCGGCGGGGCCGCCTTCAACGACCTTCCTCTTCTTGTTCACTTGATGGCGGCCCTTTTTCGTGGGAGCGGCGACCTCCATCCCCTGGTTGGCGACACCCTTCCCACGTCCACCACCGCGGGACGACATGGCGCTTCCGACACCCGCGCCTGCGGCGCCTCTGATGATACTCGCACAACGCCCGCAGTCACACGGAGTGCCCGACGAGCTGCACGGCAGGTGAATCAAGATCTTGATCGGTTTTCGAACGCGCGAATGATGACGTCGTAGTCGACGATGATAACGACAGACGGCGTGTATGGCGCGAAAGGTGACGGTTACGAAAAAATCGCGGCCAAGTCGTCCGAGGCAAAACACGATGATGACGTTGATGGCCCTTGCGTCAAAGGTGTCGATGTCGACAGTGGAAGCGGCGTCACACGCACTCCAGCGTCGCTGCGAACGCAGGCACGACGACGGTGAGAAGGGTAGGCGGCGAGAAGGCGATAGTACGACGAGAAGGGTTGTGGGCAAGCATTCGAGCGACCTCATCCCGTCATGTCTGTTAATTGTAAGCCAATTTCCATGTTTGGGATGCTTTTGTCATTACAGTTGGCCACCGCTTCCGTTTCCGGTCGTTTCGTGAGTATGCGGAAATAAATTCAACACAAAAGGAGAGCATTTCAGACCACAACTTCCCGCATGCACATGTTTATGATGACAAGTTCACAACTATGATCAACCCCAAAATGTACCTTCCACGCTAGCCCACCCTTACATTGCTTCGTCACCGACACGCTCCCCAGAAACGTCATTGGACGGTGATAGGATTTAACGCAGCCAATGGCATGGACAGCGACAAACAAAGATTGAAAACCGAGCACCAAAGAGAGAGAGAGAGAGAGAGAGAGAGAGAGAGAGAGAGAGAGAGAGAGAGAGAGAGAGAGAGAGAGAGAGAGAGAGAGAGAGACGAGCAAGAACAAGTCATAAGACGTCAGCCATGAAGTGCGAAGCCTGCTGTCGATGAATGTTAAGCGATCGAAAAAAACAACGGTCAGCCATGAACTACGAAGCCTGCTGATACAGGACGTGAGATCGTCTCACCGTCATCATATGACG